TTCATTTTTTTTTAGTTTCAAAAATTAGAAAAAGATGAAGTACAAGTTAAACCAAAATTAAAGTTAATCTATTGATAGAAACGAAAGTTATAGTTGCCGATTGAGTAAATCGGAGTTTGATCAAGCAGGTATTATCACTAATCCCCAATCAGTAAATGCTTTTAAAATATACTTTTAACACATTAATTTGTATATTAAAAATATAAAATAAATATTAAAAATATTCTTTAAAAACGTTGCCTGATGATTGATTCTCTTTTTTCAAATGTTACTTCTTAATATGTACAATTGATTTTCAGGAAGTCACTGGGCACAGGAAATGACATGGTGCATCGGACATGACTTTGATTACGAAGAAGCTCGTACGATTATACTAAAGCGGAGTCCTACGCTCGAGTAAGTAGATTTACAAATCGAATCATTGTTTTGTAAAATTGCAAGAGAAATTACACTATCCAGGTAGAGCAAGCAGATATTGCCATCATTTTGATGTTAAAATGTTGTCATAATTAAATCAAATGTCATTTTAATGTCAAAGTGATGATAATAACGTTAGCAATTGCTACCTGGGTATTTTTGAATGCGTTCCAAGTTCTTGTTGTTTACCAAATAATAAAGAAGGAGAAAATGATATATCATGTATTTCATGCGTAACTCGGAACGTACCTTTTATCATTCTCCAAACATCTTCCCTCAGGGGTTCGGTTATCATGGTCAATGGGAAGTATGATGAATGGTTTAAAATCCTGGGTGATTCTGTCGAAAATATAGTAAAGATGCCAAGGCCGCGATACATCAAAACTCATCTACCTTGGGACTTATTACCGCGGCAGCTTCACGAGAAGAAGCCAAAGGTAATGATGCAACGCACATATGAAAAGTCGTGATTATTTTCGCCTTTGTATTAATTTCTCTTTTTTTTGCAGATAATATATATCACGAGAAATCCAAAAGACGTTTGCGTCAGTTATTATTATTATTGCAAAGTATTCCACGGTATGAATGGAAGCTTCGATGATTTCGCAGAATTGATGCTACGTGATAGTGGTATGTTAAACGATACGTTTGATTCACGATATGTTCGTCACAATTTTTGAAGAATTTATAATTTTGAAAGAATTTTAATAGGCTTTCCAGGAATACTTATCTTTTAAAAATATGTGTATGCTTTCAACGATTAGATATCTTAAACTTTTGTTGTACTATATTGTTGTTTTAATATATTTTATGTTTATTCAATCTGTTTTCAAATCCAGACAACACACAATGTTTATAAAATATTTATAAAACATTTGTACATATTTATAAGACTTATTTTAAATATTTGATAAATATTTTTGTGGTCTTAAATTACGCAGATCATAAAAATTTATTATAAATATTATAAAATATTTGCTCTATCAAATTGTGTAATTGCCAATTTTTTTAAAAATAGAATCTATGGGTTGCTAAAAAAGCTTGCTTACCAACTTGTAAAAAGACTTTTTTCTTACCTAATATAATTATAATTATATTATATATAACATTTTTTCCCATGTAATAAACATTTATCATAAATATTCTGTATACTGTCTGAGAAACGACACTAAAATATCAAAGTTAACATTGAAATTAGAGTTCAATGTTCAATATTCAGAAATAATGTTTGTTTAGTGCCATTCTCTCCGTTTTGGGATCACATTCTGCCTTTCTGGAAGTCGAGAGATCAAGCTAACATATTATTTCTCACGTATGAAGAAATGAAACGGGTAAAATAATTGGTTTTGGAATAAATCTTCATTTGATTTACATTGTGCTTTGCAGGATCAGGTGGCAGTGATTAAGAAGACAGCAAAATTTTTAGGCAAAAACGTGACGGACGAGCAAGTTGCTGGATTAAACGAACATCTGAAATTTTCTAAAATGGCAGCGAACCCTTCGGTGAACGTACAACTAGTACTAGACAAAGAGGAGACAAAGACCGATCCGAATTTTAAATTTATCAGGAAGGGTGAAGTCGGCGATTGGACGAATTACATGTCAAAGGATCTCGCTCGACGATTCGACAAATGGACGGAGGAACATTTATGCGGGACAGGCTTAAAATTCGATATGGATGTTAAATCAGACGAAGACTAGGGAGCTTCGTGTTCTTCGCATCAAACAGCCATGACGATTATTGTTTTAGATTTACATTACGCATAATTATTACATTACGATTTACTTATTGTAGGCATTTATCCAATTTACCGTATCTAATAAGAGCAATTATGTAAAAGCACATCACTAAATAAGATCGCCATTCCGGAAAAAAATGTTATATATATGGACATATTTTATATATTTATAATCATATATAATTTTACAAAACATAAAATATTTTAAAAGCGTCTTGTATTATTTGCGCGATATTCTTCTGCGTCTGACTCCTAGTGCCCTTATTCTTTCCAATTTCTTTTGAATTTATAAGAAGTCTTTGTTAATTTGATTTGTTATACGGATTTATTATACACAAGCTGTAAAAGTGCATCCACCTCAATATTCTTCTTTTTTTTTTCAATTTATTTGTTTTGTTTTTGGATCGGAAACAGTTAGATTACTTAAGTCATGAATTAAGTTACATATTTGTTTAACTACAAGTCTTTTACACGCTAGATATTGTATCGCAAACAATATTGTCTCACTTCACTTGCATCGGCTATAGTTTCAATTTGGAATTTTTTGAGAACAGCTCAGTTAAAAAATTTGAACATATTAGACACCAATATGTTGTGAATATCTTGGAGTTGGAATTGAATGATACTTATAGGAAAGTAGATTCCACTCGGGTACAACTTTTTCGACTTGCACGTGTTACTTCCCTTCCTATTCATATTTGTGACTCCTTCTTTAATAAACAAGAGAAATCTTTATATCTTTTCTTCTTGCGCGAAAGGAATAGAATTGATTCGAAGTGTTGCTAGCTGTTGTCAAAACAGAGGGAAGAATTACTAAATAATAATATTAAAAATCAGACCTATTCACTATTATTAAAGGACGGTGTCCGCTGTCGATGTCGATTATTGCAGGGATGAAGTGGTAGAGGGTAGTGTTAGGTGGTCGTTGTATCTTAATGTGCAAAATCCAACTGTTGAGACAGTTAGAGAGATCACAAAATACATACCCGATGAAATAAGCTGAATTTCGCTTTCGTATTGGTTACAACATGCCTTAGAGGGAAAATTTCCCCCGTTATATATGATGTCTTTTTAGTGAGTAAGTACAATATTTGTCTCACTGTGGCACTCGCTTTTTAGTGATAACTTGGGCGGTAATTAACGCGAAGTGCTACCGCATATGTTTTGAACATGACAACATGTTTAATGCAACTTTTCCGTATTTGTTGTGCATATATAGAAGAAATGTGAATAAGTGTGGAAAGGATGTGGAAAAGATGCCAAAAGTTTGAGAAAGTGAATAGATAACATGGAATAGATACATATAACATAGGTAGATAATAAATATAAATAGCTAAATAAATAACGTAGATAAGTATATAATAAGATGGATAGACAACATTGACAAGTGGATAGATAACATCGAAAGTCAATAAATAACGTAGATAAATAAATATATAAATAAATAATATACGCAGATGAGATGCGAGAAAGATGCGAAAGAAATGCGGAAGTGCCGAAGAAGTACAGAAGTGGTGCGAAAGTAATCCCTACTGAAAAAAAATCACAGTTTAATTGCATGATGAAATCATGTAAATTTTCTCATTTTAATTATAAAAATATATGCTTGTTTATATATATATTAAATAAACAACAAGAAAAACGATACATACAGACACTCGAGTAATGTTTCCAAACGCAACCTAAAAATATATATAAGTTAAGATGTGAATAATATTATTTCTAATTAATCTTTTATTTCATTATATAGGATAATAACATTTCTAGGACGTGTTTCGTGAAAAAAATTCGAGACTTTTTTTTATAAAGTTATTCACGCTTGTAAATTGCAGAAATTCATTAAAAAACGTCGCTTATGCGAACATTCAAATTATTATATCGAAACTATTAGTCGTACAAAAAAAATGCAATACATTAATTTTAAAGATCTTAAATTGTTCAATGGTTATTTTTAATTTATCATTTTTATAAAAATAAATCATTTTCCACTTATTTATCATTTTTATTAACATTCTATGTGACGACGCCGTTCCATATACGAAACCGCGCCATCAACAATAGAATTTTTTAACTATATACATTCAATTCGAGTTCCATTTTGTAATTTCCACCCTACACATAACGTGTACTACATGTATCGAGTAAAATTTTCCTCGGAGATGTTTTAAAATGTAGCTTTAAAAAAATATTTGAAAGAACCCTGGTGAAAATTTTTCTCAGAATTTTTCATATAATTTTTATGTATTATATCGAGTAAAATTTTCCTCGGAGAGAATGTATTTACAAAAAGAAGGAACGTAGTTACAAAAAGACAAAAGGAAAAGATAATATTAAAGGAGAGAAACCGCGTGTGAAGAGATATATCTTTTTCGTTAATTACGTTTCGCATTATCGCGTACACCCACACTTTCTCTTCCTCTCTCTTTCCTCCTTCCAGAATACGCATTCGAGAATATTGTCATATTGTTCTTGTTGTTTTTAATCATATGACCCGCTCGTGTCGCGATGGCGATCAATCGATGTCGATTGTATTCGATGATGTATCGCGATGACAGACAGCGATACCAGCGATCAGCAGCAAAGATGGCGCTGATCTGTGTTATGTCAGATTTTTAAAATTGATTTGAACTCTGTCGGAGTACTTTTTCCGCTAAATACGACAACGTGAGGAACCGGATCACCCATTACCGTTTTCACGCTACGCTGCATACCGTATCGCGATCCAAGAATATCGAGCGGCAATGCCCGCGGTGAGTCACGTGTAATATCGCGCGTAGCGTTTTGCATCTAACCTAGTCGCCCGTTGAACCTTGAACCGTTTGTTGGAGTTCTCGATTTAGTGCCGACTGAACGCGTTAATCGCGAAGAGAGAAACAAACGGAAAGATCGAAGAGTTGAAGAACGTTGATAAATCGTCCGAGTTCTGGTTGACGCGCGTTCTGATCCTGGACTCGCATCCTTGTTCATCCGGTCGCACAACCCACCGATCGTCACCAGTGAACCGGTAGATACGTTCGATTGGATGCGGCTGAGATTATCACCTGGGTGAGAGATGCCGAAGATAAGGATCAAGCAGACGCCAAACAGTCTCTGGTTAAGACAACGCGAGCTGGGTGTGAAGTTCCCGCTGGGTCACAGCGACGACTTCCATAAGACTCTCTATTCTTCTATTCAGCCCATCACTTCCTGGGACCACGGAGATAATCTGACCGCCGCTAGGCATGGTGGTGTGTTCAATTTAGAATACTCGCCAGATGGGTCAGTAACAACTATAAAGTCATATCAAGACCTCCAGATCAGAATCGTCTTGTTTCACGTTTGATCAATATTGCAGGTCCCTTTTGCTGGCGGCATGTGAGAAGAAAAGTATTTTAATGTTTGACCCATTATGTAGAAAATTGATACATGCGATAGATAACGCTCATAGTGACTGCGTCAATTGCGTAAGGTTAGACAATTTTCATTATATTCTTTATAATTGAAAGAAAAGAAGACTGTGTAGAGATGAATATTAGGCCTATTCTTCTGAGCAACTTCTTACACTATACATCTTTCTTTTTTTTTTCTTTACGTTGAAGGAAAAAGAAAAAAGTAAACTGTGCACAAAGTTTAATTAAAACAAAAATAATAATAAATTTATTGTTGTCAATTAGGTTCCTGGATCAGCGTATGTTTGCAACATGTTCGGATGATAGTACAGTTGCTCTATGGGATGCCAGGAACTTAAAGCAAAGGATAAGAACTCTTCAGGGACATTCGAATTGGGTTAAAAACATAGAGTACAGTCCAAGTGACAGCTTATTGTTGACCAGTGGATTTGATGGTAGCATATATACTTGGGACATTAATAGGTAAAATATTTAATTACATGTAATTTCTGCTTTTTATATCTATATTGTATGATTAACATATATTTTGCAATGCCTTACAGCTTTACAGAAAATAGCTTTGTGTACAATCGTGTGTTTCATACAAATGGACTAATGCGAACAAGACTTACTCCCGATACTAGCAAAATGTTAATATGCACTACTTCAGGATATCTCATCATAATACATAATCTTAAACTTAGTACGCTAAGTCAGGATTTGGCAGGATTCAAGGTATTTATTGTTTCTCCAATTACGCTTTAATATTTGTAAATTTAATGACTTTCAGTTGTTCTTATCGTATTATTTTTACAGCCAAATATGTACAGGCTAATGCAGTTATCTCAGACTACTATACCAGTCGCAGCATCTTACACGCATCTCTTTGCTCACACTCGTACTCACAATAGAGTAGAGTTCCTTACCGATTTTCCTATAGGCGATGACGCTGAGGTAATATCCAGTTTACAAGTTCACCCGCAAGGATGGTGCGCTTTATCTCGAAATGTCAGCAGTGGAGAAAAATCGGAGGTTTGTTTTTGCGTGTTAAACCGCATTATATTATCACCTTTACTATCTCTTAATAAGTCTCATCGACGTGTTATCCTGTAGTGGACTTGTATTCACGACATACAAGAACGCGAGGCGTCCAACAATATGGAACAAGTCAATGAGGGAGAGGAGGGCCGATTAACGAGTCTAAACGTAGAAGAGTTCGAAGATTTTCCTCAGTCACAATCATCACGTTCGGGCATGACGTCTTCCTTTGTGATAGAGAATGGAAATCGTGCCCGAATAGTTCACGATGTGTCGGATGTAAGATCGAATTCATTTGATTCACCTGTCCGCGTGTCCACGGACGCCGCGCCGTCATCGATTAGATCTTCGAGAACAAGCTGGCAGGTAACGACACGCAGAAATCTGCGTTCCCAATCGAGGAGTCCGCGTCCGGATAGAAACGCGATGAGAACGAATTTCGACATGGTCGAAGTCAGTTCAAGTACGAGTGCCGCCGCCGATTCGAGAGTAAATGCGATTCACGATGACGATAGACCAGAGGACGAGCACGTAGATGATAACGACAATTCGCCATACGATGTATCTGGTCTTGAAAGGGTTGCACGGGAGTACAGATCTCCCAGACCACACTCTCAGCTCAATGACTTGCGGCGGCGTAATATGATTGACAATTTCACCAGTGGCAACGTAGAACTGCATGTGAGTACGACTGACGTATGGGAGGCACTCGTGGCAATCAGGGAAGCCAGACTTCGCAGGGAACGAGAGAGACAGTTTTATCCCGGTGCCGAAAGGAGAGATTGGCTCCCCAGATCGAACAACGGTGTGAGCGTGAATCTTCCTCGATCGTCTCACACGGTCGTGATAATCGGTGATCGTACTCGGGTGCAGAATTTGCAGAACCGACAGAATCTGCAGACTATGTACGCGATACCGAGGAATCACAAGATCCACCAAAATACGCCAAGGTTGACGCATTACATTGAGGAGCCCAATGTTGGTTCCGGTTATATCAAGGAACTGTGCTTCTCGGCTGATGGTAGATTGATATGCTCGCCATTTGGTTATGGAGTACGATTATTGGCATTCTCGAGTGATTGCACCGAGCTATCTAATTGCGTTCCACCTGCCAACGAGTCCGTGCAGCTCCATGAATTAGCGACACACATTGGCCATTCCGATATTGTTGTTAGCACGAAATTCTCACCTAAACACTATCTGCTCGTATCCGGCTGCCTCAGCGGCAAGATTGTCTGGCACCAGCCGGTAGTTTAGCTAAATGGATAATTACTTTTGACATCTTGTTATTTTTCATTAATCGGTCTCTTGATAGATAGATATATTTTGCCGCTTTGTAAACAAGATCACGCTGACTATGCAATGTGTGAAAATTTTTTTGTTAATATTATATAAT